GTCAAAAAAAAAATTTTGTTAAGTATATAGTAAAAAAATAGTTAGAGCACTTTTGCAATATTATAATTAAAGCCAAAGATAATACTAATGAATAAAATTCTTTGGTGATGTTTATGTTGAGAACTAATTATTATGGACCATACATATTTACTAAGAGGCAGATGAGGAGTATTTAACCAAGAGCCCAGTCCACAACAGACACATAGGTCAATAACAGAGACTTTTAGAAGGTTCTAAAAGATACTCTGGGTTCTTTCAAAAGAAATGGGGGAGATTAAACTTCTGGAGTTACTACACAAAGGCCTATAAAAATAATGGTTCCTCTGTCTTCTTGAATTTTCTCAGATGTAAAAGAGGAATGATTATACCTGCTCCAGAAAATACTGAGGATTGAGTTAACTGAGGTAGTGCTGTGTATAGCACAGAGAGGTGTTCCAAACACGTTTGTTCCCTTCTCTTTAACCTTTGTTATATTTCCTATCTCTTCAAATATATGTCTTTTCTTACTATAGTTATATCCTAAGTACCACCTCTTTCCCATTGGTACAGTTTGATCTTTGACTTTTAAATGAAATGAAGGGAAGGAAAAGAATAAAATTATAGGGTAGAATGACTTAAGAAAGTTCTTATGAAATAACTAAACAAAAATGGTTTGAGACAAGAGTTACGGTGTTAGATTGCCCAAAATAGAATTTATTGTTCTGTAAGCATGAAAGACAGGAAAGGGTGTTAGTGTCCTTGGAGGAGACTGACAGTATGATGGTGCACAATGGGATAGGTAGTTCCCAATATAGACCAGGTGAGTTTGGTTTTCCACCAAGAAAAAAGGGTTGGAAGGCCTGAAGTGACCTGGGGGTATATATATAATGAGGAGGAGACCATCTGCCACCAGCCCTTTATACTGCAGGACCTACCCTGAAATTTTTAAAGCCCAAAAAGTGCTAATATTTTAATTTGTGAAATTGCTGTTCCATACTTATTCATTTTTACATTTTGTCTTCCAAGCGGAAAGTTTTTTGATAAAATAATGAAATAACTAATATGCTAAAAATGGCTGAACCAGCTTATGCTAGGTGAATAAATATGAAAGTTCTTTAAGTTTAATAAAGCACTTGATTTTCTGTGTTAGGCATGAGTCAAATGGAAAAGTTGGGCCTTGCATTGTGCCTTGAATGTAACAGGGAAACACACAGTAAAAAGTAATCTCCACAATAATCAGAGCTTGAAAGATCAATACTCACTTATAAACAAATAGGTTATCAATTTCTATTAGTTCTCTTCCACTAGAACTGCTGGAGGCCTTCAGAAATAATGAGAATATACGTCAGTAATGCAGTACGTGTCCCTAAAACAGTTGTTAATCAGATCTTTTTAAAAGCTACTTAAAACAGTGAAATGTGGGATTCTTAATTATTGTCTCCTTTTGAGTGACACCAGATCTATAAATTTTGGTACCAGAAATAAAAAATAATTCTTAAACTTGAGATTTCTTTTCTTTATGCCTATCAGTGCTATTCTTGGCATGTGTTTGTTAAGGATTTTATAATTTAGGTCAAGGTAGAGATCAGCTCAGCTTTTAGTGGTAAGAAGTAAGGCTTTGCATGTGTAAACAGGTCTTCACTAACATTCAGTTAAAAAGCACACAGACAAGTCTGATCCCTCTAAATTAATCTCTGACTAACACCTACTGAGAAAAAAAAATGCCTTACATCAGCAGCCTTACAGTAATGAAGGTGGGAGCTTTGAAGGTATACCTTTTTGGGTAAAATTTCTACTATGCTTAAGAACAGAAAAGAAAAGCTATATATCATCCTCACTTTTTTATATATGTATACTTATATATATATATTTTATATATATGTACATACATATATGTATGTATGTATGTATTACCATTTCCCAGTATACTGTATTAGTCAACTTTTTGTCACTATAACAAAATATCTGAGAGAAAAGGAAATGACTTACTTAGTATATAATTTTGGAGGTTCACAGTCCAAGAATGGGTGACCCCATTGCTTTTGCCTCTGATAAGGGTGGCAAAATACCAATGATGGAGTACAAATAGAGGAAGGATCCCATAACAAGCCAAGAAGCAGAGAGAAGTTAGGTACAAGTCAGGTATTATAATCATTCCTCTTGCCAGAACTCAAGTGGTCACAGAAAAACTACCATCCAAGGGTAGAGCCCCAGTGTCCTAAAGATCTCCTATTAGCCCCACCTCCTAACCATAATTGGATTATATTTCCACCCTCTGAGTGCCTTTTGCTTATGATTCTAATGTCTAAATGTCTGCATGAGTTTTGGAGCCAAATATCATTCAAACTATAGCAAGTACATGTTTAGGTATGTTCATCAAACACTTACTAAATGCTTTGAACCAAGCTTGGGGGTAAGGATACAGAGAAGAGTAAGACCTAAGAAATTAAAAGTCTAATTAGAATCCAGTGAGCTTGCAATTTGGTAGTAATCCCAGCAATAAACACTCGCACAATGCATAGTAGTCATCTTTAAAAATTGTTTTCTATTTATTTTTTATTTTGAGAGGCAGAGGGATAGGCAGACCAAGATCCCATTCCATAGTTCACTCTTCAAGTGCCCATAATGGCCAGGACTGGGCCAGGCTGAAGCTGGGAGCTCAACCCAGGTCTTCCACGTGGGTGGCAATGAACTCAATTACTTGGGCCATTTTTGCTGCCTCCTAGGATTCACCATAACAGAAAACTGGAATCAGGAGCTGGAGCCAAATACTGAATCCAAGTACTCCAATGTGGGATGTAGGCACCCATCATGGCCTCTTCATCACCAGGCCTAATGCCCACCCCAAGTCAGTCATTCTAAAACTTTGTGTCAAATAAGGTGGCAAAAGTTTTTTTTTACATTTTATTTTATATTCTCATAATTACCCCCAAGGTATTGTCAGTCCCAATTTGCATAGATGAAGGAATGAAGACAATTACTTGACACAATTACTTAACATTAAGTAATTTGCCCAAGATAGATAAATAACTCCACCAAAATTCATACTTAGATCTGTCAAGTTTGATTCAGTTTAACATTGCTACTTCTAGAATGTTAGTATCCCCATTAATTTGTTTAATTCAGTGGTCAGATTACTGTATTCACTATCTTATTTTTAATTGTGAATTTAAAGTCTTCAAAGAAAATTAATTAGTGAAAACCATATCATAAAATTTGTATTCATAACTTAATTTGGGGCACATCCTTTTGTCTCTCGTTTCACTTAAAATCTTACCCAGAACTATGGGCTTCCTATATGCATATCTGATTTTCAGGTGAATCAATAATGCCCCCCCCCACCTGCATAATTTGTACCTTTCTAGGTCTTATCTCTTGCATCATACTTTCCTGTTATCCAATACTGAACATAAAATACTGATTATATAAACAAAATTGATGACAATGTGGCCACACTAAGTTTCAGGAGGATATTGAAGAAGATAAACATTTTTAACTGTTTTACAGTAGACTGTCCTTAAGGCTAATGACAAAGAGGGGAATTTACAGGGGCAAACTAATATTTAATACTTTCAAAACAATGAGCAGAAGTTACATGTTAAAAGAGACTAAAATGTTTTGGAAAATATTTTATAAATTTCTTAGCCTTATCAAACCTGGGAATGACATGTAATTCACCATGGACTTAGCAAAGAGTTAAAGCACAGAAAAAGAAAAGTGTTCACCTTTGTTACCAATTGTCAGTAACTAAGAATAAATGTTATTTAATCCTTTTAAATTTGGAAGCAAATTTAATGACAAAAACCAATGTCTCCCTGCCAACAAGAGAACTACAGGAAAAGCATTAAAATTAAATGCATTCACACATTGTGATAATGCTATTCCTAAGTTTCCTGATATGGGAACATGTACTAGTTGACAGACACTGTGCTAAGGTAGCAGTCACAGAAGGCTAAGGTAACAGTCACAGAATACAAGAAAGAATAGAGTTCATTCATCTCATTTGCACTTACTTTATTTCGTTCCTGCATTCAATGGGATTATATATTGAGCAACTTCTGTATACCAGGAGTTACTCTAAGTGTTGCAAATAACACAGTGAATAAGAGAGATATGGAACCAGTCCCAGTGGGGAATACAGGCAAGATAGCAGTCAACTATAAGAGTGTGATAAATGTATCAGTGCTGTTTGAGGAAACAAAGTTGCCATTTGAGCATGCTGGAGAGTCTTAATACATCAAAGAAAGTCTTTCAGGCAAACAGAATGGCATGTTGGCTGAGACTTACAGGATAAAAATAACCTAGCCGGGTAAAGATATGAGGAAAAGGAGTAAGTTTGTACCAGACAGAAGGAACATCATCACACATGAAGGACAGAAGTTGAAAACAGAGTAGCAAGTCCTTAGAACATGAAGAAGTGAATGGTGAGTGAAGCAGATTCCAGATTCCAGATTCCCTTGTAAGACAAGTTAATAGTGTAGACTTCCTCCTATGAGCTCCCAAGAGCTATTGAAGGGCTTTAAACAAGTATTTGCATTTTTAAAAGATCATCAGATATAATTGTGGTACTAGTTCTTGAGTACCCTTTCACAAGTAATCTAAAATACATATTCCTTACCTAATTACACATTGCAGTCAATAAAGTCAGGGTGATTTTTCTTACTGCAATGTTGTGTGTATGGTGTTAATTATGAGAAAAGAAATCTGAATTATGAATTGATAGAAATGCAAAATCATTTATCATAAAATCATAGAATGCTAGAACCTCATCCTTTTATAAATCCAAATGTGGAAGCCCAGGAAGCAAAACAGTGTGCCCAGATTGCAGAGGAGTGGATGCTGCAGTGGCCACTGGCCCAGAGGCATCTGCTGACACCTTGGTGTAGACATCTTCCCAGGAACCCATGATGCTTCCCCTCAGGAGGGTTTCAGAGATACTCATGTTTTATGAAAGAACAGGGCAGGTAGGTTTAAAATGATCAAATTCCAGATTCTGTTTTATTTATTTTTTTTTAATTTAGGAACCTTTCACAACCTTCTTCCTCAATGCAAATGATGGGAAATTTGACCATCCAGATCGAACCTTCTCTTCGGTGGCAAGGTCTTGGAGAATTAGTCAGAGAGATACTTCTGATGTAAAGGTAGGTTTTTGCATTTGTTGATATTAATGCAATTGCAAAATATGTTGAAAATTTTTTTGTTTAAATATGTAACACATTTCAGTTTGCACTCTTGTTCTTTCACATTAAAATTATATTATACATCTAATCTTTAAAGGAAGTAATTTTGAGCATTATATAAAATGATTCAGATTATTTTTTATTGCTCAGTGTTTTCATCATTTCAAGAAATTCCTATCTAATTTAGATCGAATAATCAGAAGGTGGAAAGGATAGCCTATAAATTGCCTTTCCTGCTGTTCACTCAATATTTGGCCTATTCCATAAAACACAGCAGGAATTGGATTTGACCTTAATGTGTCATATTGTTATAGCTTGCCCAGCTTTGAGTTTGCTTAGCCTGGGGCAATTAATAAAGCATTAATGACAAGACCCATTTAAAATGTAGGCTTTTCTGCACAGCCTTAGCTTTTACTTGACTGTGCCTGGGGATACTATGCAACAATACACATTAGATTAAACCAACACACACATACAATATCCAGGAACAGCCAGAGAGCACAGTAATTGTGCAGTTGGTGCTACTTAACTATTATTAATACAAAGATTTTGTATTCATTTGTATGGATTCTTGTTTTTTTTAAAGGATAAGAAAAGGTTCGTATTCAAAACAAAATATATTTGTTCTCTCATCTTTCTCCATTTTGTTTTTCTGGAAATACAATTACATGACCAAGTTTTCCAGAGGTAAATGTGTTTCTTATTTTAAGCTCTTTTTCTTCAAGGCAGTTTTTTCCCCATTACTGTCACTCAATATAAAAATGTCACAGTATCATTCCAATTAGAGTCTTCATCCAACAAAAAGTAATAGATAGAAGTCAATAGCACACTTATTTCTGCTTATCTATTGTAAAACATTTGTAAAAGGCAATTACAGTATTACTGAACTACAGGAAAACTGGATGAATATCACTTTGGCTCAGTTCGTTTCCAAAGCAGGAAACAAAGGAAATGGAGCCCAGTGGAGTATAGTATATCTATGTGTTTTAGTTGTTGTCATCGAAGTTTACCTAAATGAATATTAATTTATACATGCAACATAATCACATTTGGAAAAAAGAACACTTAATATGCATCCTTACTACATTAAATTCTGTAGGCCCACATTTTTTCCTTAACAGTCTTCTATCTTTACTGAGGAATTGAAATATCCATAAACCATCATTTTTACCAGTTTGCAACCAGTGAAATCAGGGAGATAGTCCATTTCTTATTTAATAACACTGCAAAAATTGAGTCCAGAGGCCGTTATTGAACAAAAGGGTCTAGTATTAGCAGAATATTCGTAAAAAGCGCTCAGTAAAATTTTATATGTGAATTAAATATCTTTACCTGTATTCGAAGGCTCCCTATTACATTTAAGACTATTTATATCTTAAGTCAGATTATATCATATTATATTAAAATATATATAGTGAAAATGCCTGCTGTTACTCGATATCATCACAAAAAGAAAATTAACTTTTCAACTTAATGCAAAGATCCACCCTCACATGCCCACACTTATACTGGGGTTATTTGGTTTAATTTATGTGTGCAGTTGCAATTTTACATTTTACTTTTTCTCCTGAAAATATTGTTGGTATTTCAGACCACCAGATATCTCAGCAAGCTACATTTTAGGCTCTGATCACCAAAACCAGGTACTGGGCTTCTCCTTGGAGTCTCCCAGTAGTTTTCCTGTTTAGAACCATATCTGAAACATTTACATTTTATTATTAATTGTGATACTTCAGGCTCCCAGGATCTGTCATCCGGGACAAAGACCAATATGGCTCTCACTAACTTGGGAGGCTTTTTGGTTTGTGTTCTCAGCAGTCATACTGAACAAACAAGTACTTTTTTTTCTTCCAAGACTTAATTGGTTCATAAGGAGCTCATTTCCCCAGCTTGACATTACACAGATTGCCTTCATTTTCAGTTCTCTCCTACCACCACCTTTGAACCTTTCATAGTGTGTAATAATATATCTTGACTGTCTCACCATGGAGCCCTACATTTTCTTTTTAAAGGCTGGATGCTACATACATAAACAATTATTTATCCATGCAGTCTCCTGTTGTTGGAGAGTTTTTCTTTCTCTCTGATTGTTGCTATCAAACACAAGGCAATGGTGAACAACCTTGCATAAATAACTTGGTGAACTTCAGGAATATGTCAAGGGTAATTCTGTTAATGGGACTGGTGGCTCAAAAACTATACATTGTAAATTTCTTAAGATATTGCCCAACTATCATCCCCAAAGATGCTCATTCACTCCCTGTAGCAGTGTGAGAGGATGCCCCCTCCTTATTCCCATATCATCACTATTGTAATAGTGGAATTTTTGCTTAGAAAGATTTTTCCTTTGTTTTAGTTTGCATTTTTGAATGAAGTTGAATATTTTTCATATATTTATTGATTTGTATTTATTGACTCATATCTTATGCCCATTATTCAGTTGAGTCATATGTCTTACTAATTTATAAAAGATCTTTGAAGTTTCAGGATATTGCATTGCAAGTACAATTTCTCAGTGTTTCAGCTTTGTTATGTTTCAGTTTATGTGTGTGTGTGTGTGTTTCAGAGAGAGAGATGGAGAGACACCAAATATACCCATCTTTTCCTTTATAGCATCAAATTTGAGGTCCTGTTGATAGAAATGGTAAAGAGAAGATAAGGGTTTTTGGTAGAAAGTGGTGACAATGATAATTTCTAAATTCATGCTTTAAAATATTGATGAAAGAGTATGATTTTTTTCTTCTAAATTAATACCTGGTTTGGCAGGCAAGAATGTTGTATGTTAAATCCTAATATTTTTCTCATCCCTGAGCTGTAATATAGGATTTGATACATTTTGAAGGGAATGTATTTCCATTTCCAAAGAAGCAAATTGTTTATATAATATCTGCTATCATAGTTAGAGTTGTATAAAAGAGAACAAGAATGAAGTAGATGGTTTTATTCTGTCTCTCTCTATTACTGTCAGTCTCTTCCTGTGCTAATGAACACAAGCTGGGGCATAGGCGCGCTGTTGAATGACCTCTCAGGAGAGGGCCTCGGGTGCAGTCAGACCAGTTAGTTTCTACTTTATTTATTTTCTTTTAATTTCTCTCCTCTAACATAGTCTGGTTACAATGACATTCACCTTACTGAAGTTCCTACACTAATTTTCCTTAATACCTTCAAAAGTTGTTATATTACTTTTTGAATAGCTACGTAGATGTCAGAAAAGGTAGCTGTGACAAAATGTCATTACAGTGACACAGTGTAAATTAATACAGTTAATGGAGGTGCTCACCACTGACTCATTGACCCATTATGAGCTCTTGTGGAATTAACGAATGCCAGGGCATCAATCTTTTGAGGGGGGAAAAAAAAGGAAGAAAAGAGATGGCAGCTTTAAAACCTTGCAGTGAATTATATTAGAAAAGTGAAAACGTCTGGGTTGGATTTGATTTCACTAGGAAGCCGTAAAATGGTATGCTCTCTCAGCAAAATATATTAAACCGAAATGTCAGATTTGATGCAATAGGTATACAATTATGATAGTGTTAATAGTGGTCTTCTATCATTCTGAGACATACTTTCAAGTCCAATTTCTCAGCAGCTTGAACTTGTCATAAGCCTATAAATTAGAAATTGTGTTTGAGGATATTTTCTTATTTTTGACAGAACGCATATAATACTATTAACTATACCGTGGGGTTTTAGTGTAGCTGTTAAAATAAACTAGAAATCACATTTACAGACACAAAATGCCTGTTATAATACTCATTTTGCCATTTCTTTAGTGATTTTGGTGTCTTTCTGCATGGTTTTTCATTTAGAAAATTTTAAACTATTTGGCTTTTTTCTTTAAAGAGAAGCTGATTAACGTAAAGCTTTCAATGGGAAGAGAACAGGCTGCTGACTTGCATAGTCAAGCCAGTGTCTACGGTGCTTCCATGGGGGCACACTTGTAAGTCGTAATTGTAGACCTCTTTGTTTTTAAATAGTAGTTAATGGTTTTAAAACATGCTTTTTTGTTGGTTATTTGATACAGACCTCAAAACAGTCCTAGGAGATAGCTATCCTTATCCTTCTTCCATAAAGGAGATTCCCAGGTATTAAGTGGTTTGCCTATGTTCAGACTTAGACAAGTAGAAAGGAAGCTAGAGAGGCACTGAGTGCAGTGTGTCGTGTCCAGTGCTTTAGCCATTGAGTGTTTGCTTCTGCAGTTCTTCTGCATGATCACATCGTCCTATCTAGCCTTGTTGACTGTTTTGGAGTTAAAATCTAGACATTTATTGCTGTGTAACAAATCAACCCAAAACTTTATAGCTTAAAAAAATAATAGTAACCCTTTATTTATTCACAGTATTCACAGTTCTACAGTTCAAGCAGGGCTTGTCGGATGCAGCTTGTCTCTAATCCTTATGGGGTCAGTTGGGGTGGCCTGTCTAGTTGTGGAAGATTTGAGATGACTCCACCCACATGTTTGGTACCTTAGCAAGGCTGGCTAGAAGAGCAGAGGCCTACCTAGTCATCTCTGTCTTTCTAGAAAGATCACCACACTTTTCTTCTTGGTGGCTGGTTACCAGGAAGATAAGAAGAAAAAAAAAACAAAAAACAAAAAAATAAGACCTTCAAATTCACTTAATGCCTAGACCCAGAGTCATAGTGTGTTTTTATCTCTACAACATTCTGTGGGCCAAAGCACATCATAGGCCTAGCCCAGATGCAGAAAGAGGAGAAAATGGAATCTATTTCCTGAAAAGATGATTGACAAAGCCATTTCAAAAGGACAGGAGACAGGGAGGTTAGAGGGTTTGTTGTAGCCATCTTTGGAGCCATCTACCACAGTTGTCTTTCCAGTCACAATTCGCCTACCTGTAGAACATACTCAACTTGCTCCAGTATTGTATCAGTCTCAGAATCTAGTCACTCATCATCTGCATCAGGTCCAGACAGAGATAAGGCACCGCATTTCTTACTTTGGA